AACTGGACATTGTATTATGAATTATTATTATTATTGAAATTGGGTTGCTGAAACAGAAAAATCCCATAACTATTGAGTTTTTTGCATACTTACCTTTACATAAGCATACAGCTTAACATGACCTCTACTTACTCCTTTTATAAGATTTTTGTGGCACTAGTGGTCTTTATTTGCAGTAATCAGACAGGAGGTCGGGAATTGAACCCCAGACGACTGCGTCAAGGACTACTAATCTCTTTATATGGGGCTCCCGTTCCACCTCTACACCATGTGCCACTCTGCCTCCAGTCATTACTAAGTGACAGTTTAGCTTTATAAATTCAGAGTAAAGTTGTCACTAGATGTAGTAACCTTTCAGAGAAATTTACTAACATTTTTCTTCCAAAGAAAGAAAAAGGCATGAGTTGATGTCAGGAGAATTTCTTTACTGTTGCTGCGAAAATCCGTTGTGACCCCAATACCTCCTTCACCATAGTGTGTAGTTCAGATTTAGCAGTTCTGCTACTGAATGTGAATGTTGGCCTGCAAGGATCATTCAGAAGATTATCCGTTATTAGCTGTGTCAATATCAACAGAAATGAAGATGTGAGCAAATATTGATGCAGTGTAACTGATGGTACCAGTGCTGTTTTATTAATATCTGCTTACACTTTGTTGAAAAAACATCCCTAAAGGCTTTAGTTCTAAGTTACAGATTGAAAAACATTGTTATCGAAAGATATTTTCATTTTAGATGTCCGTACTGTATAAAAATGAGCTAAAGCACAATCTTGTTTTGTTTGCAAATTTGGCAACACCTCCATGTTGCAGGCTGTACAGAACCACCAGTTTGCTTTAATCACATAAATGATGGATGTCAAATGGATGTCAGAGCTGATAAATGAGCACTTCTACATAACTTATTTGATGGGAGCATGAATGTAAATTTGTTTACTGTGCAATTATAGTTAGGTTGATTACAGCTGCCAGCATTGTTCTGAATAACAGGAACTGCCTGACATGAGAATGTAATGGTTTCACCAACTTCTCCTAAATCATGCCTGATTAGTCTGAAAGTCAGCAAAAGAAGACGGGATCATATTTAAAGGCTAATAAAGACCAAGGTATTTTTTTTTTTCCTTTTTAGTTTTCATTTATACTGTATTTTATGCCCCAGAATTTTTAAAGTTTGTACTAGGATCCTGAAAGGGGGAACTTGTGGTCAACATATCAGCCCTGATTGTTTGTTTGTAACATTATTGAGCTACTGGAACAATTCAAAACTTATTAAACACTGAGTTGAATATTGTTGAAACCAGTTATTTACATACTGTACAAAAAGATAAAACAGTTTTTCTCCTTGTTGACTTTAAATCTGACTAAACTTTCCTATTTTGTCAGTTAGAATCAGCTAAATTATTCCTATTTGCCAGAGTAATGAGAGACAAATTTTGTATTACCTTACTACCAAAGAGAACTGTGGTCCACCAAAGGTCTGCTTCATGCTTAAGTATAATTTCCAGATGTCTGAAGGGTTAACATTCACTGGTTCAAATAATTATTTGCAATTATAAACGCAATGATAATGTCCAGCCACAATGTAGTTCAGGAAGCAGAGGGTTTCTTTGGATCAATCCGAAAAACAAAGGCAAAAAGCCTTGTTCAGATTCCAGCTACAACTGGTAAAGAGAATTATTATCCACAGTGAAACAAGTTCTGCACCAATGTGGGGTGAAAGGACACTCTAAAAGGAGGACGGCACTATTCCAAGAGAAACAAAAAAAAAAAAAAAAATAAAACTAAATAAAAGAACACTGAAGTTTGGAAATTTGCCTGAGGAAATAGACCTTACTTTTCAGAGACGTGTCCTGAGGTCTGATGAAACTAAATTGGACGCATATGAACATAATGATCATCTTTACATTTGGAGGGCAAAAGGGGGAAGCTTGCAACCCAGAGAAAACCATCCCAACTGTGAAGTACAGAGGTAGTAGTATCTATATGTAGGTGTATTTTTGCTGAAGTAGAGAATGATACACGTCACAAAATACATGACCTTATGAGGAACTATTACATAGAAATATGGAAGCGACACCTCAAGACATCAGCCAGAAAGTTAGAGCTTTGAAACAAATGGGTCATCCAAATTTACAATGACCTTCAGCATACTGCTAAATTAGTTACAGTCAGTCAAGGACAAGAAAGTTTTTGGAGTGCGCCATGTTGTCTAAAAGAAAATCACTTATTCTTCTAGCATTTAGCAAAAAAAAAAATTATCCTAACCTGTCTAAAACAGCAACAGTTTGGTCTGATTTTATGGCAAATGATGAATAGGTATGTATCTTTTTATAGAATATATGTAAACATCTGGTTTTACCGGTAAATCTTGTAGATAATTATCGTAAGTCTTAAGTGATTTAATGCATTAGGGATTAATTACATAAGGGATTGATTAATGACACTACCGGTCAAACGATTTAGAATGCCCTTCGTATTTAATGGTTTTGTTCATGTTTATCACTATGTACATTTTCCATAGATTCTCACTGAAGGCATCAAAACTGTGAATGAACACATATGCAATTATGTAGCAAACAAAAACTGTAAAATAACTTTTAATATGTTATATTTTACATTCCTTAAAGTAGCTGCCCTTTGCTGTAATGACTGATATATAAACTTTTGGCCATCTCTCAATGAACATCTGGAAAGTTCTTTCAAGGCTCTTTGGAAAACTATTTCAGGTGACCTCCTCGTGAAGCTCAGGGAGAGAATGCTAGGAGAGCAAAGCAGTAATCAGAGCAAAGGGGGACTATTTTGAAGAATCTAAAATATAAAAAAAGTTCAGACTTATTTTGCACTTTTTGTTAACTACATAATTCCATTCCATAAAATTAAATAATCATAAAAATAAAGAGATCTATTAAGTGAGAAAGTGAGAAACCTTTGACCGGTAGTGTACCTAGACAGCATAGTGTTCTTCTCAAAAGGTTCTTAATTACATTGTTTTATTACAATGATCAGACAGGTTGGGAGATGGCTGAAAGTTGTGTAAAGACAAAGGCTTTATAAGAATTGTGTAACACACAACTCTGTGTTGTCAGACCTGTCCTTCTTAAGCCAGACTCACCAATGAGTTAAACCAAACCAGTCATTGTGATTCTTCCTTAGAGAGCATGAAACCTTGGAGGTAAAGTCAAAAGGGAAAAATACTCCAAACATTCAACCCGGAGTTAAAAAGCCATTAATAGATGTGACGGGGTCGCCGCACACAAGGAGCTTGGCAGCCTTAAAGGAGCAGCCTGAGTGCTCTCAGGCCACATCCCCAGCTCCCTTTATGATCTGTAATGGGATTGTTGGAGAGCGCCAGCAGGATCCTCATCACAGGACAAAACCCACTTAATGAGATATGATTCGCCATGAAAGGGCAAAGAGGAGCAGTTTCTCGCTGAACCCACTTATCCTTTGAAACCTCCACACCCACTCATACCCACCCCCTCCTCTGACCCATCCAGTTGACAGCTGGAGTGTGAATTATGCCCTGATTGTCCTGCTCCTGTGCCATGGATGGGTTTGCAAGAGTGCATGTTTGGCGTGCGAACAGACAGAGACGTAAAGGCAGAGAATCAGTGCCATGAGAGATGCTGTTTGTGTCTTATTGCAGCCACAGCTAACTCGGTGGGCTGGATTGGCTCAAGGGATGGCACTGCAACACGCTCAGCTGCTGAAATCTATGGAAATTAATACAGAGCAGCATCTTCGCTGTTCTGAGCACACCGATGCCTCGAGATGGCTTATCTGAGACAGAGTACAGAGACGCGGAAAAGCTTGAAGTTTCATCTTATGCCGTTCCTCTGCTGCTGTTTGTGTTTGGTTTTGTTTGAGGAGTAATAAATCGTTTTAGTATGACTGTCAGAGCTTCTCTTCTTTCATCCATTTAGGTCAAAAAGAGAAGTTGAAGAGGGCTCTTTTTTTTATATACTTGGTGGACAAAGTTCACAAAAAAATTGACCATGATAACATTTTGTTGCAAGTTCTGACACTGTAAACTCATGAAAAAATATTGATTTAATGTAATTTTCAAGCTGCACAAAAAATAGTGGTTGTAAATGTAAATATCAATGTAAAAATGTAAATATCATTGAAAAGTTAATTTACTTTAGTAATTTGATTCAAGGGTTTAATTTGCTTCAGCGAGCTTTATAGTCCAAAGAGAAACTTCTGCTTTTGCCCCTCCTGAAGCAAATTGGACAACATTTGTGGAGTTAAAAGGCTTAAATATTCATGAATAGTGAGGACTGAATTTAATAATGGGATTAATGAAAAGAAATCGGGGCAAAAATACATAGGAAGATAATATTTCGATTGCAGCCTTTAAAAGAGCAACCATTTCAAATAGCTGTCTAAGGCAAGCATTTTAAATTTGCTAAAATAATTTGTAAATTAATCATAATAATGAACATAATTATAAAACATGTTTTTTGAATTTTGTTTTGCTAAAACTGGTATGCAAATGCTTAAAATTCTGATAATTTTAAACATTTCAAATCCTCCGAGCGTGTTGCAGTACCATTCCCCTTTGTGATGCACCTTAAGTCAGAGCTACAAGAGGCACCACACACCATCCATATCCCATGTCCTGGATATATCCAGGTAATGAGTTACAACTATCATATTCCTTGTGTTAAGCCACTCCTAAAACAGAAGTGTCTTACATGAGCTAAGAAGAAAAAAGCAATGTATTGTAGCTCAGTGGTCCAAGGTCTTCTTTTCAGAAGAAAGGTATTTTAACATTTTATTTAAAACTCAATGTCCAGAGGTCTGGAGGAAGAGGGGAGAGGCAGAAAATCAACATTACCTTCTGAGAAACTTAATTGTTGTTTTTCTTTTTAAGCCGTTTTCATCAGAATTAACAGAAACACATGAAATATATCACACTGTGTTTAGTGAATCTATGTTAAAAGTATTTAACTTTTTGAAGTGAATTACAAAATAAATGTAATTATATTCTGATTTAGGGCTGCACGGTGGCGGAGGTGGTTGCACTGTTTCCTGTTTCCAACAAGAAGGTCCTGGGTTCAACTCCCGGCCGGGGGTCTTTCTGCGTAGAGTTTGCATGTTTTCCCTGTGTATGCGTGCGGTTCTCACCAGGTTCTCCGGCTTTCTCCCACAGTCCAAAAACATGACTATTAGGTAAAATGGTTTCCCTAAATTGCCCTTAGGTGTGCATGGTTGTTGGTCCTGTATGTCTCTGTGTTGCCCTGCGATGGATTGGCGACCTGTCCAGGGTGTACCCCGCCTCTCGCTCGTGGACTGCTGGAGATAGGTACCAGCTCCCCCTGTACCCACTATGGAAATTAGCGGTACCAAAGATGAATGAATATTCTGATTAATTGAGATTAACATGTATATACATTTTAGCTATATATATTAAAGAACTTACAGCAACTCTCTTAAAGGCCTTAATTCTGATATGGGGTTCAATCAGAAAAACTTCACATTGATATCAATCACAGAACTGTGAATAAAATGTTCCATCCCTCAAGCTGATGCAATTTCTTGAGATCTCAATGAAATGTCTGCATCATTCTTCATAATAACGAGGGAATACCACAACACTTCACTCAATCCTGAGTAGTATGGAGTGACGTGCTCCTTAGGGACTGTTTGTACTGCTTTGCACTGGTGTGTAAAGGCAAGTTTAGTCACAAACTAAGCTCATCTGTCAAAGTATGTCAAACCCAATGTCAGTACTGAGACCTCACAGGGAGCACACAGAGTACAGAGGAAAACAATTTGTCAGTTTTTAAGCATTAAGCAAATTAAATTATTATTATTATTCATACTGATGTTTGGTCCTGAAATACTGCATCTTGAAGTAATGAATTGTATTCTGTGTTTTATCCACCCATCCATTCCTCATTTAACAGTTCATCATCTTGCTGTCAACAGTGCAGGGTCACAGTAGAAACCCACTACATGGAAAGTGTGCAGTTTATAGTTTATAGAGTTATTCATTTAGTTTATTTCCATCTATCTTTATTCATTTTCATTAAATTTCTTTTCATATTTATTCATTCAGCCATTATTTCTATTATTTTAGTCATTAAGCCATTCATTTGGTAATTCTAACCAAAATCCCAAAATGTTTTCCCTAAATCGGGGTTGATGATGTGATGATATGGATCGTGAGGGGATTATAACTTGTTGAAGCTCTGCCAAAGCAGTTTTCCTTAATCTCTTTTTAAACTACATTTTAAAGAACGAGGGTATGCCTGACTGGAGTGTTGGTTTCTTGTTTTCCTTTTAAATGACAGTCGTTTTTTTTTATATTAACTACATTGTGATAGACTGAATGTACTTTAGCTCTTAAGCCTATCTTGTTAAATACCAATTGTGCTTAACAGTTCCTCAGAATCCTTCTGCCTTAAATGTTCTGTTTAAATGTTTTTTCTTTAAGGTAAATGGTTTTGTTTAGGAAACATTTTCCCATAAATGTACTCCTGGCACCATCCTGCTTTTCCTTGCTGTCCACTGAACCCCTGACTGCTGCATCAAACAACCACTTATATGGGGCCTGGGCCTGTTGGGTTTTTTCAATTTATAAGAGAGTGGTTCACTGTTGCCACATGGTGGCTTAAGAGGACAGATACAACTAGCTTTACCAATTGGTATCTCCTGATCAACCGAATTTGACTTTATTTGTATTAGAATTGAATTGAATTGAATTGAATTGAATTGAATTGAATTGAATTGGACTATCTGAATGGTTTTGAATCTAAATTTATGACTGGATTGTGGTGTAATAATCTGAGTAGAATTTGGAGCACACCAGCTCTCGAGGACTTTTAATTGCCCAAACCTTGTCCAAAGCGTTTAGGAAGCAGTTGCTGAAACATAGCTCATAAATTCTAGAATGAAAGGACAGCATTTGCCTTGTACAGCAAACAGCTGGTGGCCAGGAAAGGTTTATTCCTGGTTCCAGTTAGGCTATACAGAATAATGCAGAATGACCTCCTATAAAATTATAGGTCTGTATTTTTCTCAATTAGTGGTTAGCAAATGTAGGTATAAAGATAATCAATTAGCAAAAAGTTGCTTTTGTTTGATTCATGCCCACTTTGTAAGCGTTTTAAAGATGGAGCCATTATGTGGCTGGAAAAGTCTAAATCTGTCCAATGAAATGTGTGTCTTACACAGCAATGAAAGACAAACCGGCCATTCTTCTCTACAGACTAATAGACTACACCACCGCTTTTATCATTCCACACATCTTTTCTTTCCATATTATAGCTTTTCAGTACTTTTCTCTTGGCCATTCAGACCGTTTACAGGGTCAGTTATTTCAGTCACTTACTCCCTTTGCATCATGCATATAACTATGTACCAGGTGTCCCTCCTACCAGTGGAATGCTTGTTTGAAAAAAAGCTTTGCTGTTTTCGTGTAGCCTTCCTTTTTTCACAAGTTGTTCTTCCTTGAAACCTGACAGCTGCCATACATCTGTTATTCATAAGCACTTTCTCTGATCATATATTCTAAATATGATTGACTGAACAGACATGTCCAGGGTAACTAAAAATAAGGTCACCTCTCATAGAAACTTTACAGCCTTTTGGGCTACAGGACATTTCCTCTATAATTGGACATTAGCTATTTGTATGCTGATGGGTTGGAGTTGGTGGATCTAAAATGACTTTCAAAAGTATTGCTACAACCACAAGCTTCTATGTATGTTATTTGACATGTGACATACTAAGACAGGGTAGTGCAAAACTGTAGTGCAAATAAAAGGAGTGTGGTGTGGATTTCTATTCAGTCCCCCACGAGTCTTTACTTTGTAGAACTACCTCACGCTGCAGTTACAGGTGCAAGTGTTTTGGGGTCTGTCTCTACCAGCTCTGCACATATATCTTCTTCTTCCATGGGCTCTACTTTTGCAACTGTTTCCATTACTGGCTTTGCCTGCCCCGTATTGGCTTTTTTTGGTACCTGCTCGCTAGCAGGACCCGTTGGGAATAAGCAGGGCTCGAATGTGACACAAACAGATTGGTGTTCACTGATTGGCCACTGATTAGTTTCAGTGGTAGCTCGATTGGGAGATGAGAAATGAGAAGGTGCTTACCAAGGTAGTGGAGAAAATTAAAAACATTAGGGACCACAGCTGCTGGAATGCGTGAAACAGAAAGCCGTGGCAGTGGTACAAAATCATGCACACATTTACGGTGAGTGTTTATTTGACTTTGAAAAGCACACAAAGCTGACACTGGAGATGTCAGCTTTGTGTTTTAATGGAAACACAACAGGTTTCATGCAGAGTAGAGCAAGGTTGAGCTGTGCCGTGCTGGAACCGTAAATGGATAAGAGTCACCAGAGACTTAAGTTTTGCCTATTCGTCTTAGTCCAATAGCTGAAATTAAGTCAAATTGATTAGTGAGCATCTGCAAATATCCATTTTTAAGTCTGCCCACAGATGCTCGGTTCACTACTTTGGTCTCTAGATAAGATATACATCCCAAACGGTATTCGGGAAAAACATTATTCTGATAAGAATTGTGATTAAGTTAAATTCTATGTGATGCTTGCAAGTTCACAAAATGTTTACTGTGGTTAGAATTGTTAGTTCTGCTGTTGTAAAGCAGTGTTTTTGAGGCAGTGGTTGTTTATTATTATCAAAAAAGGTTCTGGTGAATGTTTAGATACATTTCTGTTATTAATTATTGTTAACATAATCTTAGGTACATGTTGCCCAGCACTAATTCTGCCAGCATGACGTTGCCACCACCATGTTTCACCATGAAGATGGTTTCACGATCTGGTGTTGTGATGTGTGTGTGTGTGTGTGTGTGTGTGTATGTGTGTGGGTGTGTGGGTGTGTGGGTGTGTGTGTGTGTGTGTGTGTGTGTGTGTGCGTGTGTGTGTGTGTGTGTGTGTGTGTGTGTGTGTAGGCATGTATTAAACACACATGCCTATGTGTATTAAACACATAGGCATGTAGGCCAAAAAGTTAAATTTTGGCCTCATCTCACCAGGGCACCTTTGGTCATAGGTTGTAAAACTTCTGAAAACCATGTATAATATTTCTTTCACTTCAGTCTTCAGTCTAAAAACTATTGCATTGTATTACATGTTAATTGTGGTGCTTTTCCAGTCATTTAAAACGTGCTTTAAAACAAAACAAAAAGTGATCTTGCTAAAACAGGAGCAACTATATCTGCAGTGCAACATGAGAGAAAACCAAAGATCAACTCTTCAGGTTTTTTTTTTGGTTGATGCCAGCTGGATGACACCTTGCTGACCTTACTATGTTTATACTGAGTCCATGAAATAAAGCCACAGTGCTTGCCTCAGCACCCTAAAATCAACACATTTCACCTCTACCAGCAAACACACACACACACAGCATGTATTATTTCTAAACCCTGACCTTGGTGTTGTTCCTGTGGTGTACAGTAGCTTCAAAAATGTGGAGTTGCACAAAACAAGTATTTCTTCTCTGACTATGGCCAGGGGAATGGTTTACACTCTGGGCAGTGGAGCCGTCAATTGTGCTGCAGAGGTTTGCTCATCACAATCATGAAGGTTTTGCTGACCTGTGAATATATTGAGGATAAGAGCCCTCTTCTCTTTAGGAGGGATTTGCCATGCTGCAAGCAGTCACAATGGCTGGACAGGATTGAAGCTCTGCAGGGAGGCTCAGTAGCTTGGTGCTACAGTAAATCATATGCTAAAGAAGCAGAAGCTTGTGAATCCAGGGTGCCACTTCTTTTCCCCTTCCTTGTGTACATTTCTAAATTAGACTAAGCTAGCTGTAATTAGCCAGATGTGGAGACAGAAAGCATGATCTTTATTTTATTTCCAGTTAGATAGCACATTGTTGAAGCACCAGAAAATGGGGGTTTGGCATTTAACCATTCTGGATGCACTGATATTATTTTTTTTAAATTTAAATTATATTATTTTTCAGAGTTTTGGTCAAATTCAGTGCAATGTAGATAAAGCACAGTCAGTTTGTGTATTTTAGGGAATATTTTAATTCTAATTTTTTTAGGTTAAAGTCTTTTATATAAACAAAGCAGTCTGACTATTTACAATACATGA